TAAAATCAATATATATTAGGACCAGTATCAATGAGAAAAATTGAAGAAAAAATAACGCTGGGGGCTGAGGACGTAGAGGAGGTGCTGGAGGCTGAGGCCGTAGAGGAGGTGCAGGAGGCCAAGGCTGAGGCCATAGAGGAGGCACAAGGAGAAGATGAGGAGGAGCAGCAGGAGTATGTGGAGGAGGAGGAGGAGGTGAATTTTGAGGAGTTCGAGGTGATCGAGGTTGTGAGAAGGGAGGGAGACGAGGAAGTAGAGTGGGGGCAGCCAGACGACGACTGGCATCTGCACTGGACTGCGAACGAGGAGACTGAGGATGAGGAGGAGGAGGAGGAGGTGAATTTTGAGGAGTTCGAGGAGATCGAGGTTGTGAGGAGGGAGGGAGACGAGGAAGTAGAGTGGGGGCAGCCAGACGACGACTGGCATCTGCACTGGACTGCGGACAAGGAGACCGAGGAGGAGGAGGAGTTGGTCAGTAGTAGTAGCCTAGAACAACAAAGTTCAAGAAATTGAGGATTCCCAAGTCAGTGATTTGTGTGCCCCAAGCGAAGCCCCTCCCCTCCTTCTGACAATGACAATTGTGACTGAACGTGTGGAGGATGAAAATGAGTGGCTATTCAAGATTTCAGACCTGGGAGAGGCCCATACAGACCTGGACACCACATACAGGACTACGGCATCTTGCAATCCAAGAGGGGCAAAAGGAACCATCTCCAGAAGCAAGAATGACATGGAACGGCGTCGTATCATTACCCATACATTGATATCAAAGAAGAGGAACATGAAGTTGTTGAAAAGTGTGGGGATTTCGAAGAAAGTTGTGCAGAAGATGATTAAAATCAACGGAGAGACGAAGTGGCAAGAGTTTCGAAAGAGAAGACAGGAGAATGGAGAGTAAAAATGTAAAGAGAAAGGCAAATTGGGATGCTGCAGAGAAATCCCATCTGCTATATCTCTGGGCTGGCGAAGGGCATTATTGAGGTGATAAAGTTGAAAAACAACACTTATGCAGCTTCATGGTTTGCACCAAGTCTATCATGAGGAAAAGGTGGACTGAGGAATTAAAAGCAACATTCAACGGAAGGCTGAAGGAGTACATTACCATTTCAAGTCTATAATGAGGAAAAGGTGGACTGAGGAATTAAAAGCAACATTCAACGGAAGGCTGAAGGAGTACATTACCATTTCAAGTCTATAATGAGGAAAAGGTGGACCGAGGAAGAGAAGCAACATTCAGCGGAAGGCTGAAGGAGTACATTACCAACAAGATATTGCCACCAGGAAGGGTACTAGAAAGCTTGGAATTGGAGGGACGCTCTATTGCTCAAATAAAGAGCAAGAGCACATAACATCATCAACGGAAAACAGTACATGTAAAAAGTCTAAAATCAATATATATTAGGACCAGTATCAATGAGAAAAATTGAAGAAAAAATAACTTGCTTTAAGAAACGGAAAAGGCAGACGTGTACTGATAAAAAAAGGTTTGAAGTTTGCCCGCACCTCTGAGGCGATTGACATTGCCATTTATCTTGACCTCATAATGACGTTGACAGCAAATGCCCTGGCAAGAAAGATTGCAGGGATCTACTTTACTCGGGAGGAGAGGCTCCTGTGTAACATGAAAGGGGCGCACAGGCATCACCCTTTGGACCTGTTAAGGGTAGCAAAGGTGAAGTCGCTCTTCCTGCACGTCATGGGGACGAAGGCAGAGGACATGTCTGGGCAAGGGCAGTCGTTGCAAAAGACAAACAGTGCTCCTGGTCCTGTACCCATCCCCAACATTACCGCTGCGCCCGTCGATCCAACCCCTGTTGACGCCCCTAACCCAGCACCCGGTCTTACCCCCGCACATGCCCCTCTGAACTTCAATACGTTAGAGGGCCTTCTTGCCACTGCTCCAACCTTCCAAACAGCAGAGGAGATTGACATTGGCGAGGTCCCGGCGCCTGTTTACCTGGACCTCATTGTCACCCCAACCGCAAACGCCCTGGCCTGTAAGGTGGTCGGGATATACTTTACACGGGAGGAGAGGCTCCCATGTAATATGAAGGGTACACACGGCCACCCGCCTTTAGATCCAGTAAGGGTGGCTAAGGTCAGGTCGCTCTTCCTTCACGTTATGGGGACGAAGGCAGAGGACCAGGAGACTGCCTGGGCAAGGGCAGTAGTGACAATCGATAACGAGACAAGAAATTTAAGAAAGAAGATTAGGAAGGGGAAGAAGTTGTAATCAGGGATCCTTCATCAGAACAGCAGGTGCATTTTTAGGGAGACTCTATCATTCGTGAACTGGAGGCATTTGGAACAATTGGACTGTAGAAACGAGTATACCAGTGCCAACAGTTAATGAGGCATGTAAATGTAATACCCTATCATAGTCAAATGAGACTGTTACAGCACAGGGAATTATAGAGTAGATACAGGCAAACAGACACCAGCAAGAAATGTTAGCCCAAGACACTTTGACACAAGCAGCATCATCACTATAGGCAAACCATCGTAAGGGAAGAATCACAGCAAGTCACTGGCGCAGGTGACTGCATAGGAAGCGTTACATGTAATGGAAGCGTGTCAGGACAGTCACAAATTGCTCCCAAGGTGAATTGATGCCGTTACGTCCGGTCACGGTGCCTAAATCGAAAGCTCGCTATTAATGATCCAAACGGAATTGCAGAACTTTTTTTTGAGGGGTTTAGGTTGTGGAATTGCCTAAGTGAGATTTTCTACAAGCTGGCAGTTGTACAAGTATTGACAATAATGTTATGCAAATTTGTATTTGTATTATCGTGCTCTGTCTATACTAATGTAGAAGCAGAAGGAAAAATCAGTCAAGGAAAGTGAGAAAGCAGAAGCTGAAGGCCTCATAAATGAGCTAGTGGCCAAGAAAACACCACTGCCTGCACAGGTACATGTACATGTATGTCTAGTTAGGATATTCTTCACTTGATTTAAATGTGTTTATTATGTATTCCATATCGAGCTTGTTGTTTACCGGTATAATCTCTTGAACTCTTCTCAATAATTCTTCTGTGGGTATAAACTCATTCATGCATGCATAGATATTCAGATAGCATATGAGGCCACACATCTCACATTTTAAAAACTTAAAACATTGTTAGTCAATTGCTATAAATTGAATACGGTATTCATTTTTCCAACTCTAATTTTTGATGCTGACCATTTTAAGAGTATTACAATTTCTACTTTGTGTCCTTTGAATGATAATGGTGATAAGTAATTGCACTTATTCGGTTTGTTATAGACAACTGAACATGGTACGAATACAGCTGAGATTGTTCGTCGCCATGCAAGAAGAAAAGGCTACATTGAATGCAAAGATTTCAAATTTTAGTGCAACTCTGGCTATTATGAAAGGTTGGTGTACTATATTCTGCCAAGGAACTTGTTAATTACACATACTTAAAGAACCTCTCCAAAGAAGGGGAAAAATAGACAAATTACACATCAATGGAAAGCCTCTAAGCTACAGAATACAACGTACAATGGCCAAGACGCCAGCAAACAAGACTGTTCCACCATCCTACCCTAAGACGGACATATTCCTTGGAGGAACAATCTGTGATGTTTCCCTCCCCCTCCAGTCAACATTGTTTATCATTCTGAATTAACTCTTCATGTTAAATGACCATTGTGTTCAAAGGAAATATAGGGCATACCAGCATAGAGATTTCTTAAATCTGCTCAACAGCAGATTGTCATCATTTGGCACAAGCACAATGTCTTCATTATGATAACCTAACTGAAAGTGTACATTCTTGTAAATGTTTTCAATCTATCTACAGGTGCTCAAAGACATCCCTGATGTGGTCTATGGTGCTGCACGAATTTGCCTGCCCCAACAAGAATCTAAAGCTCCTCACCTACTTGCATTGGTTGCCTATCCAATCACGAATTGAGTTTAAGATCTTGTTACTTGTGCATCAGTTTTTTCATGAAATAGCTCCAACATACCTCTCAGACCTCCTTGCAAAATACCAGCCAGTGACAAGTCGGAGGTCAGCACAGAAGGACTTGTATGTAGTACCTCACACTTAGCTAAATTCTACGGTAAACGTAGTTTTGGGCATGCTGCCCCTGAATTGTGAAACAGCATCCCTTATGATATCAAACATACAAATACTTTCAAGACATCTTTAAAAACGTATCTCTTTAATTACAGTTGAATAAATCCTACACACAGGTCCTTCTGTGTAGAATTTGACCATGCTGTGTAGAATATTATTATGCAGTATATTTTCTTTTTCCTTACTAGTATTTTATTTTTATTTTTCAATTTTTCTACAGTACGTAGAGATGTTAACAAATGTATTATGTGATTTATAAGAACTGTACTATTATCATTATTATATTATTACATAAGAGGTGTGCGACACAGATTGCCCGGCTACAGACTTGAGTCATCTGCCATGTTTTTCACATCCTAGACGCCGTATCTGACGTCTTCATCAAAAAGCATTGGTTGCCTATCCGATCATGAATTGAGTTTAAGATCTTTTTACTTGTGTATCAGACCCCGGTATCTTTTTTTTCGTAGCTTTCACAGGTGCCTACCATGCCTGTGAAAGCAGCAAAGCCTTCTAAATCCGTGAATCGGTATGTTTTCCATTACGTGCATCATCTATTATTTCCTCTTACATCTTGTTTTTCAGCGAAAGAAACCAAATTGGACACATTAGGAGGTTATAGCAATGTGCAACTTTGTAAAAAGTCACCGTGAAAAACTGTTTGGACGAGCGGGACATTGCTCAGCGAAGGTACGTAAACTAAACCCCTCCAAAGAAATTTTGGAAACTAGATCTATACATGTACATGTAATTAGATTTTTTTTGTAATGAGACCCCCTTTGTTTCTATTTTTCAGTCATGGAATGTGCAGTAGATCAAAATAAGAGTCAAGGTCAAGTGAAAATCCACTGCTCTTTTTCAACTGTGCATTCAAATAACACTTTAGTTTCCACGCTTTCTTTGAGTGTTTTTTTTGTGGGGGGGGGGGGTGTGTTTTTACTTGTTTTTCTTCATTGATTATGATATCCTTTGTTAAAATAATCTACCTTTGACACACTCAAACCCAGGTGAGGTAAATGGGTATCGAGCAGAAATTCTTTCAAATGCCGGAGCGCTGTAATGGCCGCCGTGCTCAAGCTGGGCAATAACAATGGAGCGCCTAGAGTAGCATCACGCCACAAAACAAGAAACCACTAAATATATCAGTGACATGTCATATAAAATACTGTTAACTTACTAAATTTACATCATAAATCTTGCTAGTAATTCAGAAAAATGCCATCTATCTTGATTTCAATAAATAAATAAATCTCTTCAAGATTTAACTAATGCCCCTTACCCATAAGAATACAATACAACATGCAGCAACAATTACAACAATAACCCTACAGAGCATGGTAGTTGCTCACATATTAGATGATAATGGCACCTCTGTATTTGATCAATTCGGATCTGCATCTCTCAGCCTCAAGCCGTCTCAGGACCATGTCTTGAACAGGTGACAAGAGCATCTTAGCAGCTCACTGGTTGCAGAGTGAAAGTTCTTCCTGGTCCTCTTGGTTGACTCAGATTTACCTCAATCTGTCTCTAGACAATGCTGAATCATGTCTTGGACAGATGATAGAAGATGATAACAGCTCACTGGTAACATAGTGATAGCTCCTCATGGTCAACTCGTGTTGACTCAGTCATGTCTTCTGCCTTTGGACGACACAGGATCATATCTTGGACAGATGAAATAAAGAGTTGACAGCTTACTGGTTTATACATAGTGATAGCTCTTCATGGTCCTCTCTTATGTTGACTCAGATGAGCCTTTTGCGTTTGGACGACACAGGATCATGTCTTGGACAGATGATAACAGCTCACTGGTAACATAGTCATAGCTCTTCATGGTCCTCTCTTAGGTTGACTCAGTCATGCCTTCTGTCTTTGGACGACACAGGATCATGTCTTGGACAGATGATTACAGCTCACTGGTTACAAGGTGATAGCTCCTCAACTTCCTCCCTTTGGTTGACTCAGTCATGCCTTCTGCCTTTGGACGACAGAGGATCATGTCTTGGACAGATGGCAATTGTAGTTAGCAGCTCCAAGGCAACTGGTGGGGTGATTGCATCTCTGATCGAAGACTATCCTTGTGCATCAGTCTGCCTCTAAATGACGCAGGATCATGTCTCGAACCTCTGTGATGTGGAGCTGTTGCTGTAATGTTGAGGATAAATAGAGCATTGAAGGGAAAACTTAATAGTGATGTCTTGTAAAAAGATGAGTTGACATGGCAACAAGGTTGAGATTTACTGCCATTAAACCTCACACAACAACACAAAACATTCTACCCAATGACATTATTAACCTTTCATCAGGTGAAAAATCATTTTATCACTCTAACGCTATACACCCTATGACTTCTGACTTGGTAAACCTACAACTAATGAGTGCATATTTCAAATTCATAAATCCTTCATCAGGTCAATATTAAGCAATTGAGCTTTGACCTTTGAACTGTTAGCCAATAAACATCACCAGCCCATTGTTATATATCTACTGACATGAAGAATTTAATGGCAGGAGTCCATTTTGCACTTCTTAAGCGTACCACTTATTTGTTGTGAGACACAAGCTCCAGCAAAAACTTGCAAGGCAGTTGATTTCCTACACTAACTAAATTCCTAACTTCTACCCTGAGCTAAAAACTAAAACTACCCCTACCCCTGACCCTATACTCAACATCAAACCAAATTGCAAACCAAATCCAAATGCTAATTCTTTGACGAAATAAAGCCGAAAAGCAACAGTGTTCCTGGTGCAAATTTCAGATGACTAACTTAGACTATTTGGGACTATCCTAACAGGGGCTGCTGGTGTGACCAGCTGTCAACAAAAACCATTTGATACCTGGGCCTCTTCTTATAAATCAATCGCAACTCCTCCCATCAATCACAAGTTTGCAGTGTCCTATGTCTTATGTACAAAGTTGCAATTCATATCAACTCTTTAAGAGACGGGGCCCTGAACTGGCTAATGTTCGCAATTTTAAATATATATATAGATATAAAAGCACTTACCATGAGAGTTGTGTCTCTCTGCCTCACTCTCAATATACCGGATTTTAAGGTGTTCTCATTCAGAAGTATAGTGAAAGGTACGCCCATCTCATCAAACCTGGACAACAAATAACCTAAAGCTCTTAAAAAAACAAAATGATCCTTTCAATAAATTACCCATTACATCAAAATGAGAGCCTAAGGAAATATCTATCTGCTCTTGTGACGTCTACACACCCACATTTAAATTTGAAATTTTCAAAAGAAGAAAGGAAATTAGTGTCTTGCATGAATCCTAACCCAGCTTTCCAACGACTAAGTTACAGGTACATAAGAAAGCAGCAGCCATAATACAGGTGCTAAGCCTCCTCCATACTTGACTCGTCAAACCTCCTAAAAAAACCTAATCCATAACACAGAGGAAAAATAAAATGATATAAGTGTATGTATCTCATAACACAGATAAGTGAGCACCCACTCATCATTCATTCGCATGTACGATGAGATGCTTTTATATTTTGTCTGACCCATTTTTTTATGTTGACAGTTTACCATGTCATGAACTAATAAGGCTTTGGTGCAGACCATGTTTTGTGTTTGGACTGAAAAGGGTTCGTGTCTGCAATGCAGTTCCAGGAGGTTTTCAAGATGTCACACTCTTTTTTTAAAAATATAAAATGTTTTTTAACTCACATGGTGTAATAATTCTCCAGGGACGGAGAGACTTCTACGATGCTCCTCACGTTGACACCTGCTTTCCTGAATTCCTTGCCCAAGTAGTCCGAGAGCTACAGGATGAAGGAACAAAAGAACAGCATGCAACACATCCAGGAAGAAACATACATACAGTTGAATACAAAAACAAACTCCTCTTAAATCAGACCAAACTAAACAGTTATTTCTGGGGAGTCTTTGGTGGTATTGAGGCGCTGGGCTACATGTGCTAACTTGTCCATAACTGATGCACTTACCTTGAATTTCATGGACTATACCCTGAAGTAGTGCTTACCAAGTAATAAATTCATATGTGATGCATTATAACATATTCATTTATACATTACTCATTCATAACAAGCTTTCTGGTCATCTAAAGCATTTTTTTCAAAGATATGAGCACAAAATCAGTACATCTGGGTTCATATTCATCAAGCCTTACTAAGCCTACATGTAGCTGTCAACTAAATATGCATTATGGCTCTGGCCATTAGTTTAGGGTCTTGCTTTGTCCCGCCATCCTCTAGCAAGATTTCAGGTCAACAAAAGCATTTTTGTTCAAGAAATAAACATAAATTCAGTACATAATCAGTCTAAGATTGTTTATGGTTAATGGCAGTCAATGTTTTTGGACATCCCTCTGACCAAACACATCTCTCTTCCTACCTCTCTAAGTTCCTTGGTTCCTCTGAGAGGTAACACGATGACCTTGAGCGGAGCCAGCCTGAGGTGAAGCCGAAGGATCTCCCTGGACACCGACTGACCCCTGGTGTCCGTGCGTTGCTTCTCCTGGTACCCGTCCACCAGGTAGGCAAGGAGCCCGCCCTCTAGTGACGCTGTGGTCTCGATCATGTGGGGGATCACAGACTTTCTCCCATCCTTTCCCTATGAAATGAGAAAAATGTTTTGATTTTTGTGTGAAGGGGTGTAACAATTTAAATTGTTATCATTCCTTTCCAGACTGTTTTTTGAAGAAAAACCTGATATTATAAGAGCTGATTTCAGATCATAGCTACTGAAATACAGTCTCCAACAAATTAAGTGAGCCCCTAAAATAAGTTGATTATTTTAATGTAAATTTATATAGATTTTATAGAGTTGGCACACTGTCATACATTAATAGGTACAACATATTTATTCTGTAAAAACAGTCATTAACAATACAGAGTTGGATTCAAATGTGTTTTTTAAAGGCTGCAATCACTTTTTGCACATACTGTTTTGGAGAAAAGCACAAGTCACTTACAGGGAATAAATACCAAATATGCAACTACTGATGTACAGAATGATGATAGAACAGTGGTTTGTACATATATGGGACCATTTTCCACTGCCCCCCCCCCCATGAACTAATAACTGCCGGCCTGTATACCTGCATGTCAGTTTTAAATGAGGCCTGCATCTGTTCAACAGGTACGCTCCCATGGTTAGATATTCTCTCGATCGTGTCTACTCCCCATGGAACTTGTACTGTATCTCAGTCGACTGTACGTGTCCTGTCGTTTTGATGTCCGTTGCAGTGAAGTCGGAGGGTATGCCAGCAAACTAAGGGGATGAAATTGGATGGAAAAGAGAGATGAGAGATTAAGATGTCAATATAAATGGAGGGAAAGAAAGGAGACAAGAGAAAAGAGAGGAACAGAAAGGGGAGGCAAACAAAGAGGGAGAGCAGCAAGAGGGGATGTGAGAGGAGAAAGAGAGGGAGTGACATGGAATGTGAGAGAGAGAGAGAGAGAGACAGAGAGAGAGAAAAGGGGAAAGAGGGTATAGACAGCAAGGAAACATGACGGATGGGTAGGAAATATTATCAAATGTCCCACGTACACATTTTTTTCCCAATTGATGACATTTTTGAAAATTATGAAAATTATTCTAACCTTTCTCCACCAAGATAACCTGTCTCTGTGCCAGGTGTTAAACGACAGATTGCTTGTTTTAGGGTCGAGAAAAACTGCATGGACATCTCTGACGTTTGCAGGCCACTGGTGGTCAAAGAAATAAAAAACAGTGACAATACTTTTTATGTGATTTTGTCTTCTTCCTTATACTATGATTTACTGTCCGTCTCTATGCTTTTACTCTCCTCCTCCTAGTTTTAATTCTGTCTCTTTTCAACATTCCTGCCACACTCTACCTCTCTTCTTCACTCCAATCTCTTCATCCCACTCCATTTTTGTGTGTAATTTCCTCTCCTACACTCTTCCTCCACCTTCCTTTCCTCCATTCCCTCCCCTCCCCGTCATCCCCCCCTTCCCCATTCTCTCTCTCTCTGTCTTTCTTCAGTTTCACTCTCTCATTTTCTTTCCATCATAATTACATTCCCAACTGTTGTCCTGTCTTTGTGAGTCTGTCCTCTCTCAGAATAAAACAAATAATTCTCAACAAAGCGTACTCACTTGAAGATGAAAGTATCATGTTCTTGAGATGAGGAGGACCTGTTAAAGCAGGGACCAACCTGGGCCAGGCCAAAAGGCAACCTTCTGTTCAAGAGGCATAATGTGTTGAAATAGTGGTTAAATAAGCCTGTGGGTGACACAAAGAAAAGCAAATGATAAATTACATCTTTTCAGTCTTTCAGAAAATTCATACAATCATCAAATCACAATCAGTGCAGTACCCAGAAGGTGGCACAAAGTAAGAACATTTTAAGCTCAAAAGGGGTGAATCAGCTTAAAAAACAATCCGCTCCCCAAACAAAATGAAACAGTTGAGAAACAGTATGAAGCATCAAAATTAATCTATGAGTATGAGGTAAGCAAATGGAATGGTCTCCCATCATATGTAGCAGAAAGTCCATCACTCAATTCTTTCAAATAATCTTGATAATTGGTCGCTGAAGAAAGACAAGTTTAATCCTGATGAATTATTCAACTGTCCATGTTCATCCGTAACTGCACAGCACCAATTCAAAGTGGATATGTAGAACATAAGAATTGAGGTTTTTGATATCATCAAATGAGTAGATTTTGATTAAATCTAGCTGAACATCACAAGACTACACACAGAAATTGGTAATTGGGACTACACACATGTGAAATAAAAGTTTGGTCTCCACTTTTCAGGTGTTTTTGTCACATTCTAAATATGAGGGTTTTCAGGAGACATTTTTTAACATTTTTAAATATTTTCTAAACTGACAAAAAAAAAAAAAAAAGAGAAGCTCAAAAATGATGTTTCCACCTTTACCAGCACTCAAATTTCTCTTTAAAAGTCTAATTACTGTGTTAGGTGAATAATGATTACTACTGGCACATCCCTACATACAGATAGTTCCATGAAGAATCCTAAATATATACTTACCATCATGCAATGAGCTTTGCAGGCATGCCTCTCCATTGCCTTCATGTAATCTAGATGGATAACATAACATGAAAACCTGTTCAAAAAGTCATATTATTCACATCATACATTGGAAACGTATCTACTGTGACCAATAGTTTTCTGTTCTGTTCTGAGAAAAATCATGGGTTCACCCCCCCCCCCCCCCCCCCCCCCCCCCCCCCCCCCCCCCCCCCCCCCCCCCCGCCCCCCCCCCCCCCGCTTAACAAGAATAACTGTTAATAGGTTAAACAAATTAAATTGGCATTATTTTCTTTTCTTAAGAGTTTCAACAAAGTTCTTACCCATGTGTATAGTTTTCAGAGATATGATATTCTATTAGAACAATATAATTTACAATAAAATAGCAATATAAAGCATATATTATTGTCAATTTTGAGAACATGTGATCAATTTAGGCCTTAAAAATCCCTGTCCTGAATAGGTCAAGCAATTGGTTACCTGACACTAAGGTTATGCTGTGATGTACTAGTACCGTTTTGCCCAGGTGAGGATGAGCTCTGTGCGACTGTGCTGCTCTGGAGGGTTGCATTGTCTACACCTACGACATGTTCCTGAGAGCTGACCATCTCACTCCACCTACAACACATAACCATGGAAACAAGGAAGATAATGCCTTGTTAAGAGTAAGACAATGTGCTTTAAGGACATTCTGCGTTAATGTTTATGGTTCTTGCTCTCTCTACAGTGTAAGCTGCGCTGGGCCAGCTGATCATGTATTTACCAAGTATGATACCACTTTACCAGGAACTCCAGGAATTGTGCAAGATGCACACAAACAATACTGTGGAAAGTCCTTTATTTCACTGCCAAAACAAGAAGAAGAAAAAAATCATATTTGAAAAAAAAAAAAAAGAGGAGATGGTAGGGCCAAAACCAGTCGTCGTCTGACTCTCAATATGACTATCATGGGTCTGAGTCCTGTAAACACAAACAAATGATTGTCGCCATGTTATGCGTAACCATGCAACTCCTCTCTGTTCTTGATGCAGGCTCAGGTTCTGGGATGTCAGCATTTGCACATGTTAATCTACATACATGTAGGTCTACAGATCTTTGGGATAGGCTGCAAAGCCCTTTGGAGATAACAAGAATAAAAAGTAGAAGAACAAACAAAACAAAAAAGGAAAACAAGAACAAAACAAAATAAAATTTAACAAATTATACAAAACAAAAATAAAACAGCAAAATTAAAACAATAAAATTGCAGCCTAATTAAAGTTTATTATGTTCAGAAATACAGGGGTGCTAACTCTGTGTAAAACCTTAAAGTTTATGAGTTAACACCTCATTCATTTATTTGTTCCTTACCATTCATTCAGCAGATTCCTTTTTAACTCCACTCCCAAAGGCCCATAGTCAAAGCAACCTTTCACCCCCATCGATGGCCTCAGGTGTCCCGAGGAGTATACGTAACCATGGCGTCTTGACAGATTGACGACTCTTCCCAAAATGTCTCTCCTGCTCATGCTGTAAATTCTTTGAATTGCTGATATTGAAGTGGATGCCTGGAGGATTGTATGAGGAAAAAGTACAAAAGTGTGCTTTCTTCTGGCAGTTTCGAATTTGAGAGACAAAAAAAAACATGTAGAAATACAAAGAGCATAGTTTATCATTTCTTACAGTTAGGCCTACAATGTTGATTGGTTATTTAACAAACAAAACAAAACATTCTAGAAGTAGAAACGCTTTCACTTATTTTTCAGAATCAGATGTTTTATTTTTTATAGGTCTAGGTCTAGATCTAGATCTAGATCTATTCAAAAGCCTGAAATCCAAAAATATTTGTTTAAAAAATTTGAAAGTTAGCATGGATGTGTCCAACAGACATTTTGCTGACCTAACAATACAGATACAGATACAGAATATATTGTTCAGTTTAAATTTTAACTTATTGAAATATTGCACTGAATGACTGATCGTCTAAGAGACTAGATCTAACGTAGACTGCTGGTAAGTTACTTCACACATATAGTAGGGTGTCTGATCGCGCACCAGGTTTTGTGTGCTAAAACCCTTCCCATTGACATTGCACACATCCCTATAGAGTCTATGTGCATTGCAAAATAAGTCAAGTTTTTAAAAATAAATTTAGATTCAAACCTTAATCTGTTGTGATCCTGAAGGTGATACTCAATAAATGAGGTGTCATATGAAAGGGCAGATTAATTCCCATATTTCCAAAGGGGGTCATTTCAAATTTCTAAAAATATCTTGGTTAAAACAGCGATTTAAATGCGTTTCCATGGCAACTCGGGAGATTTCCAACTCATTTTGAGAATCGACCCCCCCGAGGGATAACTAGTTCAAGTCGTAAGGAATACGTTGATGTTCTTTTTTTCCCGATAGCCCCAAGGGATCACGTAGGATTTAAGTTTGAAAATACCCTTGTATTCTGCAGCGGTTTGCCATGAAACCTGAGAAAATGTGTGTACTAATATCATTGTTTTTCAGAAAAATACTCCAAAAATAACAAGAAAATTTACCTCCTTTAGTCTATATGTAGGGTGTCTGAACGATTTTTCGGTTTCCAATTTGGGATCGTTTTTCACCATTTTTGTTGGATATTTGAATAAAAGTAATCAGAATAATACATTTCAAATTTCAAGACTCACCGATGTTTCTATCAAAAGATACAGCCCCTCAAAAACTCTGCAATATTCATAGCATTTTGGTCAGAATGGACAAAAAAGTGGTTCACGCCGAGTTATCATTTTTTGCTCAACAGCTGCATTATAATGCATTAGGCTATATGCTAAAAGTGGGGGAAGTGCATACTGATAGTAGGTTGCGGGCGGGCGCGCGTGCGCGCCTGTGTGAAGTAATCTAACGTAGTTCTAGATCTAATGTCTCAGATCCTCGTCTAGTTAACTTTACACGTTACACTTTACACCCGCAACACAGAAAATTGACACGAAACAGGTAATAAACATAACAACTTTTAACTCATGATCTTTATTTGGACATTTAATGAATATTTACTTCATTTTGGGTATGTTTTAGTAGGGACTATCTCCACGCCGGAGTTACGGGTCATATTTTGGATACCTTAGTACTGAACAAGCGCCCAGAACAAAAGTTTAGAGGTCTTGACCTACAAAACTTTGGGAAACAT